GAAGATCGAGCCGGAGCGCGGATGATAAGCCTCGTCAACACAATATCCCGCTGCGCGTATATGTAAACATTGATCCGCCCGCGCGCCTGCTACCACGCGCCACGCAGACGCAGCGTGCAGAGTGTCTGCGATATGGCATTGTTTCTGTTTCATAGTTCGTTTACATAATATATATAACATTCACGGATCGAATGATTCGATTCACGGATCGAATGATTCGATTCACGGATCGAATAATTCGATTCACGGATCAAATGATTCGATTCACGGATCGAATGATTCGATTCACGGATCGAATAATTCGATTCACGGATCGAATGATTCGATTCACGGATCAAATGATTCGATTCTTTTTTCTGATATAAAATCAAATAATATGCGATAAATCAAATGTTATGTGTGATAAATCGAATGTTATATGTGATAAATCGAATGTTATATGTGATAAAATCAATTGTAAAATAAAAATCGAATTATGAAACAAACAACATGCCAACGATGCGTACATCGCTGCGTAGCTGCTCGTTCAGCTATACGATCCTGCATCTTCGCGTGTGTCAGATATTATTTTACGAACTGTGTTTATCGCGGGTTTTCCTGCCACGCGCGCAGACGACATCGGCACAAGCAGCGACCGAGTAGTCAGATACGCCAACTCGTTTTCATTTTGTATATAAGCGTTATTTTATTGATAACTGTTTATTAGTCACCATTTGATCATCACAAAAAAAATATGTTCGTCAGTCGATGGCTAGCGAATGCTACTGAAATACTGAAGTAGATATAATGATTAAGCAGATTCATGTTGTACTGAACATAATAAGATCAAATAAAATGATAGATAACATGAACTTTTGGAGCCCTCACTCTGCTGTTCAGTACCAGACATATCTTACTCTGATCGTAATTACCACGTGATAATTCCGCCATGTTGGCGAAACCCCGCGAGGTCGTAGTTTTAATTGAACATTACCGCTGACAAATATTTACCGACGACCACAGCAATCTGATGGCCGCCCCCGCGGAAACCCCCTTCGTTCTCGCGAGCTCTATCTCGAGAATGGCTTCACAATTAAGCAATGCCGGCGTGATCGTCGATTACGTTCGATTGTCAGAAACGCTTTGAATAACTTCGAAAACATTCGCGAATAAACGTGTTGGCGCGCGTTGATACCACGCCGCCGCTGCCTGCGTCTACGTATTCGTGCTAACGAGACGTTCTGAATGTTTCATAAGGACGAACACCACAATTCCCTTACCGTTTCGCGAGCCTTCCGCATGCACGTTGCCGCGGGCTTAGCGGTAATTGCGGCTATAATAGCGCTATCCGCTTGCTATACATAGAACCGCATCTATAGTCTAATATGCATGCATGCGCTCTGCCACTGAATTCGCAGGGGATGATTATGATCGTTATAATCGTTATGATCGTTTACGATTAATGAATGTCCAACATTTCTTTACTTTTCTCCGTAAAATACCCGAGTGACGTGCGTGCACACCTGCTACTTCGCTCAATCTCCGGTACTTCGCTCGCACGCGATGCGCGGGTACAACGCGCGCGTGCATACCCGATGCACAAGCTATAAGGCCCGGCGCACACGTGAGTATTTTGACGCATGCATCATTTTACTTGAGTAAAATTACTCGCGTGTGCGCCGAGCTTTACGACTGAATTTGTTATCCCTCGCGCGGGACAATGCGCGTCAGAATTTCACACAGATCGCGTATCACACTCCAGCGTGCACACACTCCCTATACACGCGTAGCAGCAACAAAGCCTCTACCACGCGTGCGATCCTGATATATA